AAACTTCTTCGCCATTGAATCGATGCCATAATGTTTTTGTCAGATATTAAAAGGATATCTGTATTGCTATTAATATTATCACTGTTTGTGTCTCACGTGAGAGTCCAAGAAGAAGATGGCGATGAAGACGATGCGGAAGATGGCGAGGGAACTGATGGCGACGATAGCGATGACAGTGAGAGCGATGGCGATAGTAGTGATGGTGACGGCGATCGAGTGGCAACTGATGGACCAAATGAGGCCAATAGTTCGCCGAAGTCGACAACTACTGAATTGACCGCCAGTTCGGCGCCGAAGACAACGGATCCGACCACTACTACTACTACCACAACAACAACTACTACTACCGCCAGACCAGAGGTACAGTCAACTAAAGAGACAACAATAGCCACCACTACTACAACAGTAGCGCCGGTAACCTCTGGAGCGCCGCCGACACTGAGCTCCACAACTATGTCGACCACAACTACAACTGTGCCAAACAGTGTCACCAAAAAGGTATCGAAAAGTGCGAAACAAATGTCCGAAGAAGACGACACTGAAGAGGAAGGCGGCGGTGACGGCGATGCGGACGAGTCGGACGGCGACGGAGATGACGACAAACCGGAAGACAAACCAAACGATAGAGAAGTTGAAGAAATGATCGACGAAGTGGTCAAAGAGGATGAGAAGAAGACGACAAAGAAAGAGACAAAACCAAAGTCAAAGCCAAACCCAGAGATGGAGAGGGAGGACAACGACAACGACGTGCCGGACCCGGACTACGAGGAGGAGGAGGGGGCCGGAGGGGGCACTTCTGACGCCGAGTACTTCGATGAGCCGACGCGCGAAGATTTGGTCAAACTATTGATCCAAAAGAGTTTCAGCGCCGCCAACGATATGAACGCCACACTGAGTGCCGGCGGAATCAACAAAACGGCTGACGAGCGATGGATTGAGTTCATCGGTTTGGTCGACAACGGACTCCAGTCTCTGGTGCGGGCCATCACTCCCACAGCTTTGGACGCGTTTTACGAGATGACAGATCTGAGCCCCACCTGTACTAACTCGTTGCTCAGGATCGCCACCGGTCTTCAACAGACCCAGGAGTGGGCTTTTAAAAGTGAGTAAACCTGGATGCTTTTATTAATATAGCATGCTTAAAAATTTTTGTTATATTTATGATTATGTTGTGTTTGTATGTTAACCCCAAATGAGAAAAAGCAAAAAATTAGTCCATAATATGATTTACATGTTAATTGTATTGAATTAGTTTTTGTTACTTATTTTGCATATTATATATTCATTACATATCGATTGCATAACTGATTGTAGCGTTCATTAGACGTCGATTCTGTTGGAAATTTCAAACACAGTATATTTCCAATGATTATAATGTTTTTGCCTTCAATTTGTGTCTGACTTTTGACTTCACTTCTCATTAATTGAAAAATCGGTTTTCTTTTTGTGTTTTTCATCTCTTTATTTCTTATAGAAGTAACAAATCTCTCTCTCTCTCTCTATCTCTCTCTCTCTCTCTCTCTCTCT